ATTTAGAATGATATATGATGGCTCAATATAACTGCATATCTATAGGTCTATAAAGTCTCATTGTTTGGTCACTTCTATAGGATCCCTAATCATTAAAGCATTTACACACATGCTTAAGCCCATATCTATTCATCATTTAGGCACAAGCTTAACTTTAGGCTCAGGCTAAAGTCCCATTGAGTTCAATGGGACTTAAATATATGCCTAAAATTAAGCATGTGCCTAAATGCTTTGGAGAACAAAGATGGACTTTTGAATCAGATCCTTGATTCTTAGTGGAGTTCCCATAAATCCCTATGGAATTTCTATAGAAATATACTGATTTCATATAAAATTCTGTAGTGTTTGTTCATAAGGGTGTGAACACAACAGACTTATGATAAATTTTTAAATTAGAAATTTTCTTTCTTTTCCGGATTGCTACCTTTTATGCCAGAATACTTTGGCCAGGGAGAAATTATTTCTGCCATTCTAGTTCTTGGAATGTGGTCACAAAGTATATTGTTTGCTACAGTACTATTCCATTGGGGATTCAGGCAAAAGTTCCATGCAATATACTGGAACTTCAGAGGGTGTTGTTTCAGTAGTTTACTCTCCTCCACTACTAGCCATTATCCAGATGAAGCATATATCTACTAAATTCCCATCATCTTAGACAAGAGATTTTCAGTTGTTAAGACACCACTCACTCCCTCTTGAATCAGATTGCTACACTATGGCTTTATAATCACATAGCAAGTCATGTTAAATGCAGATGTTGCCTAACCCATAGGGGACTTCTCAGGGGGAAAAAAAATCAAAGAGTAGAGCTTAATAAGGGCACATATAAATAGTTTTATACCGGGCAGAAAAACATGACTTAAAAATCTTCAAGCAGAACACCTCACACATTGTTCATGAATCATCAAGTATTAAAACAGTTTGGCCAAACCTCAAATAAAAGACACTGATTAAGATAAAGGTCATTATAATTACCAAAGGAAGTGGTTACCTATTTTATTCAAAAAGACACTGATTAAGATAAAGGTCATTATAATTACCAAAGGAAGTGGTTATCTATTTTATTCAAAAATATGAGTTCTTGTGAGAGAGGTTTTTAATTTAAAAGGTGATTAAGAAGAAGTCCAGTGTGCTATTCAGAATGTTGTTTTTTTTAAAAATCGCAGCATACATCCTTCATTTTCGAGGTGTTAATTCACTAAATAATATCACCACACATTTTGTGGTGGCCGAAAACCGGATTAGCAGTGCCCAATTTAAATCTAGCTCTTTCTTGCATGCTCTGAAAGGAAGCTAATTTGGTAGAATTCCTTGTTTCCATCTTTCCTAATGTGTATTTTATTAATTTGTTTCAGTGTATTACAGTATGAATAACCTTGCAAATGGGTTTGGCTCCAGACTTCAATGAGTATTTTATATTTCAACAGGGAGTGTCAGACACAAAAGTAAAGATAGGTTAAATTCAGTAGATGGATGAATTACATTTTGTAAAGAGATATTTAAAGAAGTAAATTGACCCCAAGCCTTGCTTTCAGTATGTAAAATCTACTCTTAGGGAGATGTTAAATACTAAAATTAGAAAGGAACTAGAACAGAGTAGATAGACAGTTTGTGAAGTTCTAAATATACCGAAGAGTATTATTATTAACTGCTCTATAATCTGTCTATCCATCTTTCTGTATTAGGCCCCAATCCTGCAGATACTTACACAGATGTGTAACCTTGCTCATACGATAGTGTCTTTGCAACTAGTCAAATACGCAAAGTTATACACTTGCACAAGTGTTTGCTGGATCACTTCAGGTCATATGCTGGCCCTCTGGAAGTCAATGAAAGTTTTTGTGTTTTGTCTAGCACAGTTACTGTAGTATCTAAGGGTTTCCCATATCTGCATGGCAAGGAGAAATGTGTGAGTAACTGGGTTTTTTTGGTGACCAAATCAAAGAGTATATAAAAGCAATTAATTTCAGGTTGCCCTAACACAAAATTTTTTGAATTTTTTGGTGAACTAAAAATGGTGAAAAAAATCCATTTTGGGTCAGATTAAATGTTTTATTAGGGATGCAATGAAATGTTTCATTTCATTTTCAAGTTTTTACCTTTTAATATTTTTAATACAATTGAAGTAAAATTCAAAAGTCATTTTGAATCAAAAAGTAAAAATGTTCCTTGTTAAAATGTCACACAAACTATTTAGACTATTTCAGAATTCTGGGGTTCTTTTTGAAACTGAAAGAATTCAATGAATTCTACAAAAATTAGCAAAATGCTTTGGTGGACCTAAATCTGCATTTTTCATTGAAAAAAAATTAGTCAAAATTGTTTTGCCCAGCTCTTATCATGAGTTCCCTGCTGGACCCGAGGGAGGTTTCTGCTTTTCTTCCTTGCATGGCTATAGGAAACTTTTTTTGAGATATACACTTTTGTTTCTACCTGTAAGTTCTGAATTTTTGAACACTTGTCTTCTGGTTGTTAACAAGTCCCACTGTGGTTCAGTTCACTGTATAGCTCATACTTTGGATATGTGTGCTCTCTGGACTCTTTTTCCATCTCTCTTTGATTGCATGTTACTTAAATGAAACATATGAAAACCATAGGGTTAGTATGAAAAAAACCAAAACACCATAAACAATATGATATAGTTGGGTTGCCTCATATTTGACAGCACAGTTCTATCTTCAGGTACATCAGCACGGCTCCCTTCAGTAACAGTTCTCACATGTGTGTGAGCACAGAATATACCCCAGAAAGTCTTAAATGTATGTAAGGGCTTTTCTACTGCATGCTTTAGTCCACATCAGAGCGTGTGAATTTTAGTCTGCCTTACAGTGTTATGCACTAACTGACCCATGTGGACTCTGCTGGTGCACCCTAAAAGTTCCGTAGTTCACATTAAGGAAGTACTGTTGGAAAGGGGACTATATTAACACACACTAGGGAACTTATATTGTGCACCAGCAGCATCAACACCGGCCATTTAGCGCATGACACATTTGTGCTGGCTAAAATTTACACCCCTGTGGTGCAGACTAAGGCACGGTGCAGACAAGTCCTAAATAAAGATATAATTATATATTGACAGTAGTTCAGGAGTCATTCCATGTTTATACACCCAAATTATCCCACCTCATGTCTAACTATGTAGTATTTGTCAATGGTCAGTATCTAAAGGTCTGTCTGCACACAATTTTTTGTCCGAATTTAACTAAATTAGTTGAAAAAAATGATAATGATTTGGGTAAATTCGTGCAATCTCATATTGTGGACAGAGTTATACCAGTATAAGGATGTTTTTTATATCATTATAGCATGTTTTGAAATACCTTTATATTGGTATAACTGCATCCACACTAGGGGATTGCAAACTGAGTGTAAAACTGTGCAAAAACTAAGCCCTCAACTTGTGAAGTGACCTTAGCCTAAAGCTTTCCACAGAGGACCTGGCAAGTATTTGTCTTACTCAAAAAGAATAATGAGAACTGATTCAGGAAGTAATCAGATGTGACCTCTCAAAAGTACTGCCCATGGGAATGATTGGAGGAGCCAAATCACTGTGAGCAAAAGTAAGAAGGCAGAGCAGCATTGTGATCTACTACTGCCCAGTGTTAACAACTCCACCCCTCCCCCAACATCTCTGCTGTAAATACAGTCTGACAACTGATCCCTTGGAAGAAATATGCAGCTTCTCCAGAAGGAATTATTTCTCTGACATCTCTGTTTTTTAAATGATTCTGAGACTACAAAAAAGACCATGAGTTCAATATCCAGTTCCTTTAATTTAGAATAAAATTCATGAGACTAGAAGTTTGCTTTAACCTTGAAGAAGGAAGGCATCTCCCCTGAAGATTAGGCTTAGTGCAAGTGTGTGTTCACCACAAAAGATGACTGGAAGTTCCTGCCTCTGCAGTCTGTGTGGTTGAGGGGCCATCATTCCAAGCCTGCAAAGTTACAAACTTGATTCCGGAACTGCCCAAGACCTCCCTGTTTCTCTGACCACTCTTGGTAGAAAGATTTGTGTTTTTTTTCCTTTTAGCCATTATAAAAAGTAAAAGGCCTAGAAAATGAGTCTTCAACATTTTAAAGCACACAAACATTGTCAGCAAAATGTACGTGTGTTTCAAATATGTTCCCATCAATTCACTTAAAACCATATGGATTAATTTATCCACTTAGAGAGCTGGGAAATCACACACTCTCTTGCTCCATACCTCAAGATGTTTGTTCTTAAACTAGTGAGGTCGCTGATTTCTGATGTTCAGCAGAGGGCAGAATTTCCTATATTATAAACACCCCATTTGTCATTAAAGATGTTTACTTAAAATGTGAGATTTACAGAGTAACAATGGCTGTAGTGATAAAAACTATAACTTGCCATTATTAGTATATTACTTTCTTTTTCCTATTAAATCATAGATAAAACATAATATCAGCAAATATTAACACCAAGCTTCCCGAGACTCACAGCTTATCTTGTTTAAAGAGAAACGTGTAAACATTTTGTTGATAAGATTGTAGGAAATATAACTTCCTGCCTGACTGAAAGCTAGTTTGGGACACTTAGTATAAACTTTGAGATCAGGGCCTTATTAGTTTCCATATGGTTAGTAATGTGCGGAAGGTATCATTGCTGAGTTGATTATAAAATGTGGCGAAGAGAACAAACTAATTTATTAGGAGTATTCCTTTCCCCACATTTCTAACAGGGGTCTGACATTAGAGTCATATGAAGAAAGGAGAATTCTGCCTGAAGGAAAGATTTGCATTGCAGCATAGGAGTCCTGTGTATAAGCATATAGTAAGCAGGTTTTTCAGTTCACAGGAAATATTTGAGCATCGTTGTGCTTCACTTTATATTAATTAAACCACACACTGAAAATGTACATTGCATCTAACCAGTATCCACCCAGCAACTCTTAAAAGCATCTGACATTGGATCTTTGTGCAAGTAAAACATAACATGCCTAATGTTTTAATTTTTTAAATTTTATTTTGAATGCTAGTATGAAGAAGGAAAAAAGCGAAGAAAACCCAACTACAGCAGCGTTGATCTTTCTGAGGTTGAGTGGGAAGACAGAGATGATGTGGTAAGTGTTTTGTTTTAAGGCCCTGTCAGAAGAGATTGTTGTATCCCACTACTGTACTTGGTAACTGTTCAAGTAGTCAGCAAAGAGGCCGCCTAACTGCTCCAGAGACAGTTGTCCCTTTTTACCTAATTACGAATTTTATTTACCTTTCTTTCTTTCTTTCTTTCTTTCTTTCTTTCTTTCTTTCTTTCTTTCTTTCTTTCTTTCTTATATGCATGTTTCTGTCTCTCTGTGTTTGTATCATCTGTAAAATTCATCACCTAATTTTAATATTCCATGCATCCCATTATGAACCCCAGTGGCACTGTGCTGGTCACCAGGGATCAGTACCTCTGTTCAGGTCTGGCCCACCTATCAGATCAAACTGAGAAATCTGGACCAGATTTTGACTGCTCCACCTCTCTGGAGGAGCTCTCTTGGCTCATGCTGCCCTTAGAAATAAAAAGAACAAACTAAACTAAATTAAAAAACAAACAAAAACAGATGCTGGAGTCTGTTTAGATCACAGAAGCTAGCATGGATCCCCTATCAATGATTTACACCTAACACTTAATTTCAGGTTTGAAGAACATCATACAAATCAATTCCTTCTATCCTCACCTGTGCCATGCACAAGATCCCTCCAGATATTACCCATATTTCTCTATCCACTCTGTAGTTTGCCCTCTGTCCCATTCTTAGTTACCTTGCAGGCTTAGTCTTTTTTGCAGTACTGTATCAAAAGCTTTCCTTATGTGTATGTCCATGGCTTAACCTTTGCCTGGTCCTTCTGTTACTTCCTCAATAAATCTGATTTGTTAGGCATGATTCGTTTTGTGTGAATCCATGCTGACTGTCCTTAATTAAATCGTAACTTTCCAGGTGCTCCCCTTTCTGTCTCTGTTACTTAGTTTTTCCCATAACTTCACCATTGCCAAAGTCATGCCTGCATGTCTGTGTTTTCATAGATCTTTCCTAGATTACTTCTCAAATCTCAGTAGCTTCTCTTGAGTCCCTCATACTTCTACTGTTTCAGAGAGGTTTTGAATGCACACACTGAAGGTTCCCATATTTTCTTTGTCGTGTCCTTCTGAAATCTGGGATGAATCACATACATCTTCCCCAGGAGTTTTGTCAGACTTCAGTGTACTAATTTCTTGATCCCTTTTCCGACATAAGTCTATATTTTCTTTTCTCGGTTGCAAAATATATATCAGTTTCTGCCACTGCCCATTCCCTCCTTTTGTGAATAATGAAACTATTCATTTGTGTTTTAGCAATATCTTTCTTTCCTGTTGATAGATTGTCCTCATTGTCTCTCAAGAGGCCATACTGTCTCCATATTTGAGTTTTTGTGCTGACTTTACATGAAACCTTTCTTCTTATTTCTTATGTCACCTAGTGCATTTTTCTTCGCCTTCACTGTGTAAAATATCCTCTTCATGTTTTCATATTCTCTAAATGTCCTTCTGTAATCTCTGAAATCCTTCATGTTTTCTACATTGCCTTTTTCTTATCCTTGATTACATAGCACTCTAGCTAATTTATCTACGACTAATTGATGTTTTTAAAAATATATTCCCAATGTACACATTTTATTAGTAGACTGAACATGCATCCTTTTAGGCATTCATGAATCTGTCTTTTTTTTTCTATTTCCCTTCTTTTATCCTATTTTGATTCCACCCAGTTTTTCCAGTATAATTCTATAATTTCTTCTAGTTGGTTTATACAGTTTTATTTCCTCATTTGTGTTCTCACTTTAGTTGCAATAAATTCCACACAACTCTAGTTAGTGGTTTCCGTTTTTTGTTGTTGAACACAACCTGATTTTGGTTCAAAAAAATTTAAATCAATGGAGCTCTGCTTGGATTCTGGTTTTGTCTGAATATACAACAAAGCCACCAAAGTTCCTGATAAAACTGGCAGACGCTCATCTCTGTGCACTGCCTGTGGATTCAATTTTGGGCAGTTCTGCAAGACCCAGAAGACTTATCATGTGACCAACAGTCACCAAAGTTTCCTTACAAAACCAAACCAAAGTCTGTTTTGTGTCTATCCAGAGACAGCAAAGAGTTTTATTTCAATTTTTGATGAAAGGTCCATGGGGCCCAAAAAAGGTTTGGACTAAACTCTGCTAGTTTTAGTTTTTAATGTTCAAACCTTGAAACAAGCAGAGTTTCCCATGGTTTCAGATTTCAAAAAAAAAACTAATAGTTTTCTTAGTACTACTAATAGACTAAATTGAGCAAAAAGCTTGTGGACCGGGTCCAGGTCGGCTCCCAACATGTAAAAGTGAAAACTAGATAAAAAGCAAGAGGATTTAGTTTTGAGGAATACAGAATACGTGACAGGAAATATATGGGCTTAGTACTGTAGCTTTGGACCACTAGTAACCACAGTCTTGGATACTCACGCATAATATTTACACATCAGAGTAACTCCCTTACAGGGGTCAAATCTACCAGGTTCCAGAATCATTACAATTCATCATCACATACTTAAGGAAACAAATCCTCCTTCAAAAGTTATCTCATCAATAGATACCTTTTTTATACAACAGTGGCCTACAAATCTACTAGTAGATCATTAGTCACCAAATATTTTTTGAAAAGACAATATGTTAAATGTTGTGGAAAAAGGTAGTAAAACTCCAAATGCTGGCCTAATGCTTTGGCAGCGCCACCTGCAACTGGAAATGTTCTTGCAGATGTCTAAATATGAGAAAACACAAAGTGAAAATAATACTTTTATAGAGATTTTTGTAACCAAGCCCAGCACTGCTACAATTTTATTGTGTAATGGGAGAGGAGTGTGTGTGTGTGTTTAATATAACTATACATAACACATTTATAAGAGCTTCAGATACGCAGAGGGACAGAAAGATCAAGAAAAGGGATGGAGGAGGAGCAGTTCAAAATAAGGAAATGCATGATGAAAGCTATAGATAGAACCATTCTTAGCAACATGACTAGAGATAAATAGAATTTTAAGGTTTGGGATGGACTTTCCTGATCAAAGTAATGACCAGTCTAGTGTTGCCAACTTTCTAATCGCACAAAAGTGAACATCCTGCCCTTGCCCTGCCCCTTCTCCGAGACCCCGCCCCCACTCGCTCCATCCCTCCTCTCTCCGTCGCTCGCTCTCCCCCACCATCACTCACTTTCACTGGGCTGGGGCAGGGAGTTGCGGTGCGGGAGGAGGATGAGGGCTCCGACTGAGGGTGCGGGCTCTGGGGTGAGGTCAGAAATGAGGGGTTCAGGGTGTGGAAGAGTGCTCCATGTTGGGGCAGGGGGTTGGGATGTGGGTGCGGGGTGAGGACTTCGGCTGGGGGTGCAGGCCCTGGGGTGGGGCTAGAGATGAGGGGTTTAGGGTGAAGGAGGGTGCTGTGGGCTGGGGCATGGAGTCAGGGTACGGGGGGGAGGTGAGGGCCCTGGCTGAGGGAACAGGCTCTGGAGTGGGGCCAGGGATGAGGGGTTTGGGGTGCAGGGGGGGGGCTCTGGGCTGGGGTAGGGGGTTGGGATGTGGGGGAATGCGGGGTGAGGGGTCCTGGTGGTGCTTACCGCGGCTCCCAGGAAGCAGCCGCCAGGTCCCTGCAGCCCCTAGAGGCATGGGCGGCCTGGGAGGCTCCATGTACTGCCCGGGTGCCACCCCCGCAGCTTTTATTGGTCATGGTTTCTGGCCAATGAGAGCTGTGGAGCCAGCCCTTAGGGCAGGGTCAGCGCACGGAGCCTCCCTGGCTGCCCATGCATCTAGGGGCTGCAGGGACCTGGAAGCTGCTTCCGGGAGCGCATGGAGCCCGGGCAGGCAGGGAGCCTGCCTTAGACCTGGGCCTCCACCATGCCGCCGACCGGACTTCTAACGGCCCAGTTGGCAGTGCCGACCAGAGCAGCCAGGGTCCCTTTTCGACTGGGTGTTCCAGTCGAAACCCTAGCAACCCTAGCCTAAACCCACTCTTTATTTAACCCTTCTAAGGTCTAAGGAATATCCAGAACATTTTGAAATGTGGTGTTGTTTAGTGTTGTTTTTTTAGGAGATTATTTATGTCACCATCCCCTGGAACAAAATGTAGCCCCTTCTTGGTAATAGTAAGGGTCAGTGAGGCTGCTGGATGTTTCATTGGGGAATTAGAGCTTTGCGATACAGTTTGCTGACTTGAAGGCAGCATGCTGCTCAGCTGCTCAGAGGGCCTGGGTTTGATGCTCTTGTTTCTCCCTGTGCCAGACCAAATAGGCGTTGTTTGCTCAAGTTCAAGAAAAAGTAAAGAATTAGCTTATTCATACAGCTGCTTGTAATCATGTAACATATTACTGGCATATTTTACCCCCACAAAACACTTCTGTTGAAGTTGTGTAAGAGAATTTTTCACTAGTTACCACATTGACTTAATGATTTCACAGTTTTCCAAGCACGTTAAATGATCTCATACTTTAGCGTTGAGATTGTGTTGGCTGACAGAAATAATAATACCTAGCTCTTATATAGCTTTTTTTTTTCAGTAGATCTCAGAGTTTCACAATATTTAATGTATTTATCTTCCCCAAGCCCCTGTGACATAGGGTTTTTAGATGGGGGAACTGAGACATGGAGAAGCTAAGTGACTTGCCAGTTTCACACAGTAAGTGTATGGCAGAGCAGGTATTTGAACCTTGGTCTCCCAAGTCCTAGGCTAGCACTCTAACCACTGGACCTTCCTTCATCTCTCAGTAGGACATGAAGACACATAATAAAGGGCATACTTTGTAATACAAAAATGTATACAGTAGACATAAGTAGGAGCTATCCTGTGGCCTAGTGAGGAGAAGGTAGCAAAGCTGAATTTAGATTGTTGGTGGCCACAAGCAAACAGATTCAGTGGAGGTATTTTTTTTCATTAATTCATTTCCCAAGTTATAGGAACCACTATCTTGATCTTACTGACACACTATTAGGAATAGAAATCTTGCAGTATTTTTTTTTCATGAAGTTACTTCTTAAAATTCTTTTACTATAATTTGTAGTTGGACAAAGTGTGTGTGTGTGTGTATATTATTTTTTTTTAGAAAAAAGTTTGAATGATGTTTTGAGTGTCTATAGCCATCTGAGGCAGTACTTGCTTTATATACTCAGAGCAGAGATGACACTGCAGAAGAGTTGAGAAACCAGATTATAAATCCAAGAAATGTACTTTTAGAAAGCAAATAAATAAAGACAAGTAAAATGCTAAATGTCATATTCAGACTTGATCATAAATGCTACTAGAGTTTTTGAGGCCCTGTTAGTAAATCCATGACTTGCCTGAGGTTTGTGGGAGGAATGGGTCCTAGATAACTGCAGGCACCAAAAAGGAGGGAAATGAAAAACATGTTAAAGATAAATGGAACAGTTCTTTAAATGTTAGAAAGTAGATTGTTAATTAAGACCAGCTCTCCAAGTCCAAAACCACAAAAGCTAAAATGGGAAAATATTTCCAGAATTGCCTATTATGTATTGTTAAAAAAAATCTACAGTAAAATATGTGCTTTATTTTATGCATGCCTCCAGCTAAAAATTATTCTTTTACACTCACTAACAGGAAAGTAAGACAGTTAACTTCAATCTAGACAGCCTAGAATTACATTTAAAGAGCGCAAACATTGCAGTTTTTGATAGGTCAGCCATGCTCAACTTCTTTTCATGAAAATATAAACAGATATTTCACTGACAAGCTTTGGCAGGCCCTGCTCGTTCTAACTAACCAGAAAAGCCTGCATAGCACCTTGATAGGGTCACATTTGCAAATTTTCATTGAAATCTGTTCTCATTGACCGATCTGTCATATGCGGCATGTGGTATTGGAGAAGGAAAGTGATGGACGTTGCTATAACACTAGGTACAACATTGTTTCCAAATATTGTAAATAGCAATGATTTAAGAGAGATTGAAATGCCCATTTCATATCACACTTCTGCATTTATTTATTTATTTTATTGTCCTTTATAGAACATATTTTAGTGTAAGAACTGATTTGCCAGATAAAATGTATTACTATATCTTAAAATATGGTAGCTCATCCTTAGAGTGAGCATGAATGAATAAATAATTAGTGGGAATCTGTAATGAGAATTATGTTTATGAAGTATTTAAAACAAATACTGTTATTGCTTACTAGGCACATATCCACAAACAGAACAATATTTTAATTTAAAATATATCATAAAGATACCTTTCCTAAGGTCTCTGTGCCTGTGCCATTAATTAAAAATACAACAGGATAAGAAAGTATCAGGAGCTTCTAACCCTAAACCGGTAAATAAACAAATACCACTTCACCTTGAATCATCCCTTAGAATATGTGCCAACTATTTATGATAAATTATCTGTTCGACCTTGTATTTAGGTGTAACACTGTTGAGTATCTTTCCCAGACCTGAAGAAGAGCTCTGTGTAGCTTGAAAGCTTGTCTCTCTCACCAACAGAAATTGGTCCAATAAATTATATTACCTCACCCAACTTATCTCTAATATCCTGGGATTGACGTGGCTACAACAACACTGCGTACAAATACACAAAACACACCCAGACAATACTCACATTGCTCCCAAATAGCAGCTCTTATCATATTTCTCCATTCCCAAAAACCTGGCTAGACAGCTCTAAAATATTGAACTTAATGGCCTATTTCAAATAAACAGACAGGGGTAGTAAGTTACAAAGCTAAGGGCTCCTCAAAAAGAATGCCCTGCCATTTGTTCCTCTCTTACACTGAGGGGGCTCCAGCCCAAGCACCTTGAAACAGTAGACTTGTGACAGTACGGTACTTCAGGAAGGCATTCTTGGGCTACTTTACAGGTAAAAATCAATACTTTAAACTCCACACAGAATCTGTGAGGCAGCCAGTGCAGATCACAGATCACTGCTGGTGTGTGTTCCTGGTGAGACATTGCTTACCTAGTGGATTGTCCCATTCTGTACCAGTTTCAGTTTCTGGTTTGATTTAAGGTGTAGCCCAATGTAGAGCACCAAATGGAAGTTGAAAGAAAAATGAAATAGCTGTAGTTATTCTTTATTACTTTGCCATTGAATGGCTTGTTGACATAGCTGAATCACAGATTATTTCCCTCCTACTGGACTGCCTTATCATAACACCTCTAACAGACACACTTATTGGAAGTGCAGCAGTAATTGCTGAAAAATTGTGTTCTCACCATATGAAAACAAAGAACTGCTGTGACCAAATGAAAATATTTGGGAACTTTGGGATGTGAAAATTACTAAAAACATACATGAAGGAAGTGACAAAAATGTTTTTCTCATTTCAGCTTCGAAATGCAATGGTGAATCGAAAAACAGGGAAATTTTCTATGGAGGTGAAGAAGACAGTGGACAAAGGGGTACAATGTATAAAATGTTCTTCCTACTAAATGTAAAGCAAATAAATGTTTAAATGATCCTTGAAGATTATTTGGAATAGATATGTTTCACTAAGATTATTTTTCTCTTGCCTTTAATAATCCTGAGCCACTCATGTACCTTTTATGTCATTATTAACCTTATCACAAACTAACCATTTACTCTTTTACAAATTTCTCATAGCAAACTAACCTTGTTTTCTTTTCTCTGACTTTCTTGTTCTGAATCTAGAAACGGGTATTGGTGATGACAAATGACTACTATTATACAGACATCAGGGGTACTCCTTTCAGGTAGAGCTGACCATAATAAATGGACATTTCATCAGACTCATTGTACTTGCATTTGTACAAAGCTTGTGAGTTTATGAAAAGAGCATCAGCAGGAGCTCACAATAAAATATTCCTGGACAATGCTGAAAATAGCAAAGAAAAGAGGCTTTCCAGCATTCCTTTCACCTTTTCCAGGGATGGAAAGTTTGTGCAAGCTCACATAGGCAAACTCACTGTGTTTGTCATGGCTTACGTTTCATTAAAAAAATATTCAGTTGAGGTTTACATTGAACGAGAGGTTTTTGCAAGTACTCAGAGAGCTATAAATACTATAATCCATTTAACTAACTACATATTGAGCCCCATTTTGATTTTTTTTCGACAACAAAAATGCAATATAAATGGAGATAGTATTTCACTTCCAATTTGAGGTTTTTATATTTTTGTTTCCCTGAACTATCTTCAGTGTATTTGTACAACTAAAACTGAATAAGTCAGCCATATTATTTTGGCATGGGTTTTAACAAAAATGGCAAGAAATCGCTAACTGAATGCCCAAAATTGAATTAGAAATAATCCGTTAATAAAATTATATTTATGGTAGCCTATGTTCAAAGAGGGAAGCTGATAATTGCAGAACTCTACTGAAATATTCCTGTGAGCCTGGCCACCCTCTTAGCACATATGACTGTCAGAAGGTATCCTGCATTGCAGCTGCATGAGTTCACTAGAAAGTGGGAGGCACTTTTAGGGTTGCCTCCCATGCACCTCATCACTCCTGAGCAACCCAGTGATAGATTTCCTTTAAAATAAACAAACAGATTACTTAATTTTTGAAAAACTTTAAGTGGAGCTAAATAAAGGCAATGAAAAAATATATAAACAGGCAAAAAATGTGAGCAGCAGAAAAATTACATTAAGAATTTCTTCCTGACATCTTTATCATGTTCTGATATTTCTTTCCTTTCACCATCTCCATTGGCTCCCACACTTTGTAAAATTTCTCAATAGCTGAGTCTGATGTGTAAAGAGTTGTCTTCTCCATTGTAAGCCTGTGTGGGCAAGTTCAGGATTTGGATGAAGAATGAGCATGCTGGGTGAATAATTGTGTGCTTAGAGTGGCTTCTTTGTTAGTTTGCCAAAGAGTGAATGGTTTGCTGCACCTCTAAGCACACATAAATACAACCAATTGTTGCTGGCATATCAAACCCCACATGACCTCCATATTCTATGATTCTATGTCATTCAAAGTAGCTAGTTGAACAATAAATATAATAGTGGGGTTTTGGAAACAAACTGTTTTTTTAAATTTGCATAGTACATGAACTGGAATTGTTAGCAAGGCAAAATAGCTCTCAGTCTCTGCTATTATTTGTGCCACAGATTTCAAGGTCTGCTTTATTTCTCTGCACAGTTTAGGTGTGGCTCTCTCTAGAGGACATGGCAAATATTTCTTCAGAGGAAACGTAACTATAGAAGAAGGTAAAATACCATTTTGTGATGCTTACACAATAGTTTTATTGTTGATCTTAGTGGGCCTAAAGCTTGTGCATCTCTTACATGGTTTCTCTGCAGATTCCCTACCAGGATTAGATCATTTCTGATATTCTTGACATTTAAGCATTTTCATATGACATGTAATCAGAATGTGTTTATGAATCTTCTTTTCTGGAAACGTCCCATGCTGAAGAATCACTCAAAGGCTCGTATTTGTTGTTAATAATCCTTATAGAAGAATTATTAACTTCATGCTAATTTCTGAATCAGGATATTGGATACATTTAAAGTAGTATTTTGTTATGCACAGAATATAGTGTAGTAAGTCTTATCACCACAAAATTTAGAGCAAGTCTATGTTAATCAACTTAGAATTAGGTCTAGAGCTGAGTGCTTCTGGTTTTGATATTTTGTTTGCTTTTTATTAGCAAAACCAAAAGAAAAAAACACTTTCTTCTTTCTGGTTCTTTAATTTTTGGTAAATTCATTAGTGAAATGGATGAAAGGATTAAAATGGTGATCAAAGAGCTTTCCTAGAAGGAGGGGTTGGGTGAGAAGAGGCAGCTGTATGGGGATGAGGTCAGGCATGGAAGTGTGTGGACCTGCACCTATATGGAATATAGTGTGAGAGGGTCTTAAGGAAGGGAAATCAGGAAAATGAAGGAACAGCAATAATGGAGGGAGCTATGTAGGCAGAAAGATCCCCAGGAGCAGGTAGGTGGTTACCAACATATAATGGCTGTAACGGTATGCTGGCCATGCACAGTGGAGGAGCCTTGTGCTGGGAGAGTGAGGAGAGAAGTTGTAGTGGTAGCTCCAAATAATCAGCATTGTGTGAAAAAAAAGGTTAAAAAAGGAATGCTTGCTGCTTGTCCTTAAGGCTTGAAGAAAAATACCAAGAAGATCTGGGTTCAATTCCCAGCTCTCCCCACAGACTTTTTCTGAGACCCACAGACAAGTCAGTTCATGTTTGTGGATCTTAGTTCCCTACCTCACAGAGTTGTTGTGAAGGTAAATACATCAATGTTAGTGAGGGACTCAGATACCATATAAGTACCTAGAAAGAAAGGTAGCATGGTGTGAGTATTGTAAGTCTTTACTCTCTGAGCTGGTCCCAACACACCTCTGACCTATCTTCCTTCATCCAGTCCCACATCTCGGCCTGTGTGTCTGACATTTGCTCTTGGATGTCTCATCATCACCTTAAGCTTTAACATAGCCACCACCAAGCTCTATTCTCCCAAACCCTCTCCACTTTTCTGACTGTATCACTCTGGACAATATTGCCATCCACTCAATCACTAAGGACTGTAATTTTGAATCCTACATCTGCTGTCACATCAGATTCAAGCTGTTTGTCACCACTTTCAAAGCTCTGTATAAGTCTATCCCTCCCTACTTACCCAAGCTTTTCTCACTTTGCATCACAATTCTGCCCCCTTCACTTAGCTAATGTCCCTTCCCTCATCTGTCTTTGTCAGCTTCTCACATAAACAGCTGCATGTCCCCTTTTTCTGTATTTTATCTTATCAATGTCATGAACTTCCTGAGCTCATTGCAAGTCCTTTACCATATGCACGTTTAAGCCCTTTTAAAGATCCACTTTGCCATGCTACCTACAGTTCATATTGTTTACATGTGTATTAAGTAAAAAAGAAAGAAACAAAAAAGTCAGTTTCTGGTTCCCTCTAAGCAAATTTTCTGTCTTTCTTTCTTTCATTCTTTCTTGTAGTGTGAGCTCTTCAGGCAGTGACTGTTCCTACATCTCTTTCTAGAAAATGTCTGATGCTGCCATCAGCATAATACACAGTAATAATAAATTATTGCCTGAATGTTGAAAACTTGGACCTTAAGTTGGACCTGCAGAGCATATGTGCTCACATGTAATTGCATTCATAAACCCCACATTTATGCCCTTGGTTACTTATGTGCTTACATCTTCATAGGTAAAACTCAGAGTCCACATTATGAAAATTTAGCCCATTTTGCTTTATCCCATGGGACCGACATGCCTACATTTACTGATATGAGATTAAGAGTTTTCAAATTCCCCAAATTCAAATTTATGGTTCTATATAACTAATAATACAGTACTGATTTACAGGCATCTCCATGAAGTGTTAATACAATAGACCCCTTCTAGACTATTCTGTAAACTCTTATTCATGTTCATGAGAGCATAGCATCGTTTTGTTTAAAAATATACTATCATTTCTGAAAAAAAGGTCTTCCTTGCAACTCTAGATTATGATGCAACATAAAAGGCGTTTATTAAAATAACAAGAGCATGGGAATTTAAAGTTGTCTGGTATTTTACCTTAATGCAGCTCTTTTTGCTCAGATCTTCTTCGGATCGCCAGACATATCATATAAGCTTAAATATCTGTGCACAAACAAATGATTTTATTCCTGTCATTTCCTCCTTAACTCTCATTTACTTGGCTCTTGCCAGTTTGTCAGACCCTGAAGTGTATGTGAACATAGTTTTCTGTGATTTATTATGCTGTGGTAATAATACTCCTTCCAAGAAGGAAGAGTGTATGCTCTGAAGTGTATGTAAATACCCATCGGTTACCTAGACTGCTCCCTATACAACATATTATTATTCCTGTTTCAGGTTTGCATGATTTAGAACACCCTGATGTATCTTTGGCAGATGAATGGTAAGTCTTAAACAAAGCATGAAATTGGTGCCCGTTACCCTTCTTTGTTTAATATTGTTTGTGCTTACTGTGCCCAACTCTTCACGTTCAAAGACAAAGAGAGATCATGCTTATAAATATTTACATTGTAGTATTTTGGCAACATTATGTTCTCAGGTCATATTGCAACACTGACGTACATCCTGAACACCATCAAATGGCTCAGCTAGATGCTATTAAACTCTACCTCACAGGAAAAGAGCCATTGCTTCAATGTGAGTATGTTAAATATTTTTATACTGATAAATTTCATAAACATTCCCTTATCTAAACAATGATTGTATTTAAACTTTACATACTAAAATGCTAATTAATTGAATTGCTGATTTGGTTGGACAGGTAGGATTAACTCACATCATCTTGCAAATTCCATATTTACTTGAGAGTATAAGACAATCTATTGGTGTAGTACTTACATGTATTGATACTGAGATATTTTACCATATATAGTATTGACAAACCAAACACTGGATTTCCAGTTCACACTAGGCAGCCATGCTATCTTGTGTCATGGTCTCCTCAGATCTTATTAATTAAGGATGGTGGGGCTGAGACAGTACCTGAATGAGACTTCTAGAGAAAACACCACATGCATCAGGAAGTGATGATGGTGAACTTTTAGGGAGGTGGTACTCTTCCTGAAGAGTTAGAAGAGCGCCAATACTCCAGTCCTGTAGAAGAGGCAGGTTGTCCTTTAGATGAATTGTAAACCTGAGACCTGGAACTCTCGTGATCGTTGATCAACACACACAGTAAAATGACACAGAGATGGATTTAAGTAGCAGGCGGCAACTTTATAAATGTAATATTGGGGAAGGTCTCGCTACCCTGTTTCCTTTGTTCCAGGCATTTAAGTGGGTTCAATGAAAAGTTACAGGACTCCTGCCATAAAACTCATAACTCCCTCTCCCCGGCAAGGGGGACAGAGGGCACCAACTGAGGGACCTTGGTCTGTGAGGATTTCAGGTCTCCCCTTTTTCCATAGGCTCACGGTCCACCAACAAAATCCCAGGAGTTTTACTTCCGGGAGCTGATCCTTTTGGTTGATTTGGGTGGGTCATTTTAATATGCCTGATAGCTTGTTTTGCAAGAGATTGAGTATTAATCTGGGGTCTTGCACAAATACCAGCATGAGAAATTGCATTGTCTTACCTAAACTCCCATGTCACTTCAAATGGATAAGGTATTCCTCACTTCCTAATCTAACATTGCTGCTGGTGCCATTGTAAAGGCTGCCAGTTTCACGGAAGCACAAAGCATGAGGGAGAATTGTGGTGGTGATTGAAGTGAAGTAATTTACACCTTTACATATTTAGCTTGTAATTCTGTGAAGAGCCCATATGTTTAAAGTAGATGAAATATAGATTGAATATAAATAATTAATACTATTTATGTGTGGTTCACCTAATAAAATATTCTGATTTGACTCTTTTTTTCACCACACATATAATCTATTTGTTGCTATTGATTTAATACATTTTCATAGGTGATAAAGAATTGATACAAGAAGTTCTGTTTGATGCAGTGGTGAGTGCACCAATAGAAGCTTATTGGACCAGTCTAGCTCTAAATAAATCAGAGTAAGTAAATAAATACATATGCACATTTTAGTATAATAAAAAAGTATACGCTGGCACATGTAGTAAAATATGATTATGAAATATGATTGAAAAACAACGTATCAATTTAAGAACCTTTTACCCAGATACGGTGTAGATGGGTGCATTATACATACCTATGTAGTTGGGCTGATCAGATGATGAAAAATTGTGGGTGATTATTTGTTCATCTTCAAAAGAAAATTTTGAATCAACTTTGTGAGTTCATTTTCTTCAAGCATTTGAGAGCTTGAACTTCACTAAAGTGAATGAAAAGCAAATGTAAAACATTTAAGCTTAAATATTCACTTAAGGCCAATTTGCAACAGATTAGGCACTTTTAAAATTTGCAGTTTGTGCCGTCTTGGTTAGTTTTTGAGATTATACAATCTTTAACAATACAGAATAATATGAAACTAGCAAACAATGTAGGAACTGAAAATACAACACCGTATTTGGAATTTTTCTCTAAGAAATTAATGAAACATTTCTAAAAATGAATATATTTGTGAAATTTGTAATTTGTTTGAGAACGGGTTATGTACATAAAACAGTGAAATTAATAATATAAATTATTTATTGCACATTATTCACTCAGACTTTCTAGACATAAGTCTTGCATATGAAAGCATATAGATTTTAAAATTTTCTAAAACCAGATTGGAACTAAATGCTCTACTGTACAGTACATTAGCTATTCCTTTATTTGAGCTTTTACACTACTTATGATACACTTAAGCTATAGTATTATGCAGAGAAATGTGATATATATTGGGAAAATAGGTAATTTGATTAGCAAAGCCTATGTGAGCTATCATTGTAGAAAGGGAATTCTGGAGACCATCCAGATGAGATTTGGTTAAGTTTGTACAATTTTCTGTGTTGTATGAAAAGGCCTGTTATTGTAAAGCCACATATAATATAGTGAGGTAATTAGTTGAGGTTGGTTTGTAATTACTAGGATTGTGATTTTTCCATCTCCATTTTTAGGAAACTGTGGGTGAAAAGAGAAAATACCATGGAAATATAAGTTTTGTTCTGTTTAAGTCAAATGTTAAAAAAAAGATCAAAAGTTAGTTTAAAAATATACAACAAAAATCCAGCCTGAAAAAGTGTTTTAATTATTCTACCTATAAAATTAATTGTGTTTATATTGTGCACTGAACTGATAACCAACTGGGGGTTAGCCGATCTACTCTTAAGAGATAAGAAATTATTTCCTATGACTGCCACTTGTGTTAATATACCCTAAGCTTTGAGGGTGAAATTCACACAGCAGAATAATGTGTGGGTCTTTTGAATCCTCCAACACAATGGAACTACAGCTATTCCACTTCATGCGTGGAAGGCAACTTCAGAGGGTTTGTACAGGGAGACTCTTATACCCCTTTTATATCCTCTCTGCCACTACAGACACAGTTCATTGTGGAGGAATAGCAGATTGGAGGCTGGCAGTGGGAGGGCCAAAGGTTTAATTGGTTTTGTGATAATGTGAACCCATGGCTACAAATCCTCAGAGATGATCATAGAACTGGAAGGGACTGTGAGAGGTAATCTAGTCCAGTCCCCTGCGCTCATGTCAGGACTAAGTATTATCTAGACCATCCCTGATAGGTGTTTGTTTTTACTGTTCATAAAAATCTCCAATGATGGAGATTGTACAATCTCCCTAGGCAATTTATACCAGTGCTTAACCACTCTGACAACTAGGAAGTTTTTCTTAATGTCCAACCTAAACCGCCCTTGCTGCAATGCAAGCCCATTGCTTCTTGCCCTAACCTCAGAGGTTAAGAAGAATATATTTTTTGCCTCCTCCTTGCAGGGCCAGCTCCAGGCACCAGCTTACCAAGCAAGTGCTTGGGGCGGCCACTCCAGAGAGGGGCGGCACGTCCAGCTGTTTGGCGGCAATTCAGCGGACGGTCCCTCACACCTGCTCGGAGCAAAGGACCTCCCGCTGAATTGCCGCTGCAGATCGCGATCGCAGCTTTTTTTGTTTTGTTTTGTTTTTGTTTGGCTGCTTGGGGCAGCCAAAACCCTGGAGCCGGCCCTGCCTCCTTGTAACAGCCTCTTATATACTTGAAAACTGGGATCCCACTCAAGATATACCACATCTACTGCTTCCCCACATCCACAAGGCTTGTTACCCTGTCAAAGAAAGCTGTTAGATTGGTTTGACATGATTTGTTCTTGACAACTCCATGCTGACTGTTACTTATCACTTTATTATCTTCTAGGTGTTTGCAAAGTAATTGCTTAATTATTTGCTCCCTTATCTTTCCGGGTACTGAATTTAAGCTGACTAGTCTATAACTCCCTGGGTTGTCCTTATGACCCTTTTTTATAGTTGAGCACTATATTTGAGATAGTGGGTGAGCAGGGTTTGTAGTCCCTATCCCAGCCTAGGACCAGGATGAGTGACCATGAGGAGCTATGCTGCTAGTAACCCACACCCTTTCTTCCCCCAGTCTTCATGTAATTCCACCGCACAAATCCATCTTGAAGAAACAAATTTCTTGCAGTGGCCAAATAACTTTTCAAACTATGCGTTTGTGTGTTTTATCTAAAAAAAAAATGAACATGTCTTTCAATAAATTTAAAAATAAGAGGAATGAGATCAAAAATGCTCTTTCAGTAGCTCCATCTATTTACTGTTTAGAAATGTTTATCTTTGCTTGTGTGCTGCTCTATTTCAGAAATTCTGACAAGGGAGTGGAAGTTGCCTTTCTTGGAACCCGGACGGGTCTATCTCGTATCAACCTGTTTGTGGGACCAGAGCAACTTACTAATCAGTAAGTCACATGACTGTGCTGAAGGAGCAGGTGGGAAGGCAAGAAATTTTTTAGGAGATAAGCTGTTTTTTTCTTCCCCAAAGTTTCACACTGGCAAAGCTAAATACATAGAATAAACAAAAACAGTTCTTGTAGTCTTTAGATTTTTCTGTAACTTTTGGAACTAGTTGTGATATTTTTCACCCGTGTATCAGTTATAATAGGGGCCTTTTTTCAGTCCATATATTTGCTTTTTTCCACCCTCCTGGAGTTAGACTCACATCCTGATTATTCAGTGCAAAACTAAGAAGATACTGGAGCTGCAGAAGATGGGGGAAATTATGCAATTTTTTCTTAAGCTCATCCCAAAACAAATGTCTTTAGGTGTTTCCAGCAGTTATTCATCCCAGTTGTGAAATTCCCTCAGTTGAAGGTCTGTAACACTTAGTGTGCTGATATTGCTAAATCAAAACTTTAATTTTACTTATTCTGTAATGCCTTTGGCTCACAAAATGGTAGATATGCATTATGTCATTTGTAACATACGCAAGGATACTTCAGTTTGAAGGGTTGTATATAGGTTGATCACTGTCTCATATCTCAGTCTAGCATGAGATACTTGGACAGAGGATTACTATGGCTTCAAAGTATAATCTATTCTATGCCATTCAACCCCGCTCTTCAAGTATTTTATAACATTAAATTTGGAAGAGAGAAAAAGCCATACAAAATATTTTTTAAAATGTAATCATAATACTCATTTTAAAATTCCTTAATACTGAATATTGTACAGTGTAGAAAGGAAAATAATTCTCCACCAGTTATATTAAGCTTAGATAATATAGACAATCGGATCATGTTGAATATTATGGGAAATGGTTTATCTGTATATATTGGACTCTTTTCTAAACAACATAGGGTCAGTGTGATTGTTTTATACTTTGAGTAAGGGCAAAACTTAGTAAGTATGAGTAATATGAATATTTGGGATTGTTGTTTAGTGTTGTTTAGAGATTAGTGCAGGGGTGTCAGAGTCAGGAAATGTTCATTCTATGCCCATATTTGTATTGGCTTGCTGCATGACTTTAGGCAAGATACTTACACCCTGTGTGCATCAGTTTTCCATCCGTTTAAAATGAGGAAATCTAACATACCCCCATTGGATTCTCTGATGAAAGCTGCCATAAAAGGGTCCAACACAAATTAAAGTCAATGGGAGTCCTTCCATTTACTAGTGTATGTTGGATCAGGTCCCAAGGCCCAAATTCATAAAGGGGCTTAGGGTGTTGCAATACTGAGGTTGCAGCACCTAACTTTTAGGTGCCTAGTCACCTAGTGGAATCCACAGACCCTAGGTTAGGCACCCAGGCTACCTATATAATGAATGGGGAATGTTAGGCACCTAAGTACGGGATTTACCAAAGGTGACACACTAGGCTAGGGGAGCTGCCTAAATACCCAATATCACATGCCAAGAAGAGGGGTAACTACTAAGCCATGCCCCTCTCAAGGAGTTAGGTGCTACATCTGGGCTGGAGGAAGGTGCCTATCTCTGCTTGGGATCCACAGCCATAAACCCTTTCCCAGAGTCAGGCACCTAAGCTGTTTCTTGTAAGAATGGTGGCAGCACACCCAAACTGTTCCCAAAATGGCCTGGTGGAGGAAGAGGTGAAGAGGAGAGGCAGCAGCCTCTCATATAATATTTAGCTCACTGAACTTTGGGATATTCTGGTGTGGGTCTCTCTCAATCTCTCCTCTCTGCACTGAGCCAGAGAGTGAGTGAGTGACTCTATAGTCCAGTTGTTGGGTTTCCCACCTCTCAGGTGAGTGCCCTATGTTCAAATTCCTGCTCATTATCAGGGGTCTTCCATGTCCTGGGTGAGTTCCCTAACAACTGGGCTAGTGCTTATAAAGGAGTTCTCTTTCCATCCCTGGCTGTTTTGTGTATAGTTAGGCATGCTCCAAGCATACCTACTGGATTGGGCTCTCGAGGTAAGCAAAGTGGGACAATGTCTAGTTTCACCTGGTTTGAGAATCTTTGCTGGACCTTGGGCATAAGATAGGCACTGGCCAGGACTGAGGCAACAGTGCGCATGCCCAGAGGCAGAAATTCCCCTCAAGGACTTTCAGCATCACCTAAATTTTGGACTTGGGCATCTAAAGGAGGATACCTAAGTCCTTTTGGGGATCTGAGCATAAGTGCAAAGGTGTTATAGCAACATGTTAGTCCTATTTACACCATGAACATATGAGAGAGAGATAAACATCCAGA